TAATCTCAGCATGCTGAAGGCTGGGGCACGAATATTGCCATCCTAGGATATATGATTAATTACCAGGCCTGCCAGAGCTTTATAGGAATACACAAATAAACAAAACCTAGAAATATAGCTCTACAGTATTGCACCTGTGTAAAACATATAAAGCCCTGAATTTCATACCCAGCACCTCAAAATAAACAAGTAGGTTAATAAATAAACAAACAAACAAACAAACAAAAAAGAAAACCAAAGCCAAATCAGTCAGGTTGACTGGGACAACAGTCATCCAAGTGTGGAAATAACTGTCTCACCCCTGATGTAAGACATGAGCCTTAAGAAATATGAACATTAACTCGTTTAAAAAAGCTCAAGTGGGGAGGGGCACACAGGCCGGTCTTCACTGGGCAGAGCACCCCATGAACAAAAGAGAAGTAATCCATGACATCCAGAGTGGAAAATTTTTTATCAACTGGTTTCAACAAGAAAACAAGCGAATACTTAGAAACATGAACAGTGTTTCTCATAACAGTAGCCAGGGGAGGGAGATAAAAGGGAAGTCTGCGGGTTTACTGCTTTGTCAAAGCAGAAGCAGGACCCCAAGGAAAGGGCCATCTTCCCTCATTCAGCTGGGAGACCAGAGACAACACTCAGGCGAGTTTACAGACAGCAGCTAAGGGCAGGTTGGAGGCAGTCAAAGGCTAAGCCAGAGAGAAGGTGGACAGGAGCACAGGATCCAAGTCTTCTAGTAGACATCACCACAGGGGCATCATGGGCTGAGGATTCTGCAGATAGGACATCACCACGGCAGAGATTGAGAGCCTGAGACAGAAAAGAGGTGTCAGTCCTAGGTAGCAGTCACGGGACCCCATCCCCTTACTCAGGATCCTCACATGAAGCTACTCATCATCTGCTTAGTGTCCTCCGAGCTCCGGGAATTGGCAAAGCTGATAAAGGAACAGTAGACGGCAACCCAAGCACACCACTTCAGCTGAAGAAAGGTGGGTGGGAAGACTGGATCAGTGAGAAGTATGTATGCCAGGAAGCCCCCACAACCAGATCCTCAGATGTCAGGTTCGACCTGCAGCTTGGACCTTGGCCCAGGAAGTACCAACCCTTCAGGACCAAGCCTACTCCAAGCTTCTGATCCCGATGTGTGTGTACTCTGTATCTCTGACCCCACCACTTTCCCACATGCTAAGGACCCTGCCCTTTTCCAAGAGTCGTCTGTAAATTGCTTCAAAGTCAGGCCCCACCCTCAGACCCACTCAGTTATGTGCTCATCAACTGCAATCCCAACTTTCCCTATGTTGGAAACCTCACCATAGCTCCACTTCCCACTGATCTCAACCCCCTTCCCCACCTCCAGCACCGCCGAGGACTCGCCTCTTTCTGAACCCGCCCCCAGGCCTCATTCTCAGGAGGAGCGACAGACACCCAGGGAAATTCAACCCCGCCCACCTTAAGCATGAGGCCGCACATGCTGAAGATCATGCCGAGAAGATTCATGTAGTCCGGAGTCGGGTCGTCCAAAGCTGGGTTGCACTCGCTCGGCGGAGGCTTATACCTGCGACATGTTCAAGGGTCAGGAGCGATCAAGTCCCACCTGGGCTGACAACTTGGCGTGGACCCACGGCCACGACCAGAGACGCCTTGCCATGACTTGCTGGACCGCTCACCTCAGCACTTTGTTGGGTCTCCGTGGGTCGGACATATTGTTGGTGGACATAACGAACCAAAGACCACGCCGTACCTCTTTCACTGCTAGAACAGCAGCTTCCGGCGCGGGAATGAAGGGTGGCTTTTAAGAGTAACACCAGCAGCCTGGGGCTTTTGCTCCCGGGACCAGGACTGCTCTCAGCCAAAGAATGGAGAATAAGAAAAGGCCAGAATAGCTCCTGGAAAGTAGGCAATGTGGAAAAAAACTGAAAGGAACCTTCAGTATTCCCAACGCTGTCATTAACGCGATGAAAATTTGAACACGGAAGTGCCAAGCAGGAAATAAATCCTGGGGGACAATAATAAGGTTACACCCGTGCGAGGGTTTTGAAAGCCTGGAAGCAAGGCAGTCTCAATCCAGACCTCAGCCTTGCGGGTAGCGGACTGTTTGAAATATGGCTTTTCCTGAGCCAAAACCGCGGGCCCCGGAGCTGCCGCAGAAACGGTTGAAGACGCTGGACTGCGGCCAGGGCGCGGTGCGAGCCGTGCGATTTAATGGTAAGGGTCCTCGTCTTCATCCCGGGCCTCCCGCCTTCTGAGGCCGGAGGTCCCCTAACCCCCACCTGCTGCTCCCCAGTGGATGGCAACTACTGTCTGACGTGTGGCAGCGATAAAACCCTAAAGCTGTGGAACCCGTTGCGTGGGACGCTGCTGCGGACGTACAGTGGCCACGGCTACGAAGTGCTGGATGCGTCCGGGTGAGCCGGGGGCCAGGCTGGGGTGAGGAGCGCAGAGGCTTGGATCATGAGTTGATATTGACCTTCCCTTTCCTGCCCGCCAGCTCCTTTGACAACAGCCATCTCTGCTCTGGTGGTGGGGACAAAACGGTGGTGCTGTGGGATGTGGCAACTGGGCAGGTCGTGCGCAAATTTCGGGGCCACGCTGGAGTGAGTACAAGCCAGACGACTCTCATTAACGCGTCAACATGGAGATCCATATTAGTGCGTAGGTGGTTCAAGGAAGATCGTTCCATTGCAGTCTTCCGCCTGTGTCCATCTCTTACACCCAGGCAGTCACCAAGCACTGTCTTCCAGTTTCTCCAGAACCTTTCCCCTCCCTGCCCAGTAGCATGTGCTCTTGCCCTTAACTTGCACTAGGAGTCTCTCCTTTATCCCAATCTTCCAAAACTCCCCTCCTCTAAATTAGTAATTCCCGTTTCTCAGAAGGTGAACACCGTTCAGTTTAACGAAGAGGCCACAATCATCCTGTCTGGTGAGTCTAAGGCCTGGACAGCGCAAAACTGGTTGTTGCCCAGAGACCCAAACCTGGCCTCACCTTCCTGTTGGCCTTACAGGTTCTATCGATTCCAGTATCCGATGCTGGGACTGCCGTTCTCGAAAGCCTGAGCCCGTGCAGACGCTAGATGAAGCCAGAGATGGCATATCCAGTGTAAAGGTGTCAGACCATGAGATCCTGGCAGGGTGAGTAGGTCCAGAAGCTTACTCCTGCCCTGGTACCACTGAAGATCATAGTGGCCATGGTTTGTTTTTTTGTTTTGTTTTTTTTTTAAGACAGGAACTTATGTATGTAACCCAGGGTGGCCTTCAATTCCTAACCCTCTTGCCTTTACCTCCCAAGTGCTAAAATTTTAAGAATGAACCATGACATGCATGGTGCACATCTTTAATCCCTGCACTCAAGAGGCAGAGGCTTTTGGATCTCTGAGTTTAAGGCCAGCCTGGTCTACATAGTTGAGTTCTAGGATGCCCAAGGCTATATATGGAAACCTTGTCTTTAAAAAAACAAAACAAAACCACCTTGCTGACCCCCAGCCTAGACCTGTTTTGTTTTGGACACAGGGACGCACTCTGTCCTGGAACTCACAATACAGAACAGGCTGGCCTTGTGCAGTCTCCCAGCTCTGCCTCCAAGTGCTGCACCTCAAAGCCTGGCCCAGCCCAGATAATTAGGCAACTTTCATTCTGAAAGTCAAAATAAATATCCCAAAAAGCCGAGCACAGAGGTTAGTTTTGTTTTGCTTTTTTTTTTTTTT